TGACACCAACGATGAGGCACGATTCCTCCGCCCACTGACACCAACGATGGGGCACTATTTCTCCCCCAAATGACACCAACGATGGGGCACTATTCCTCCCCCCACTGACACCAACGATGGGGCACTATTCCTCCCCCCACTGACACCAACGATGGGGCACTATTCCTCCCCCCACTGACACCAACGATGGGGCACTATTCCTCCCCCCACTGACACCAACGATGGGGCACTATTCTCCCCCCACTGACACCAACGATGGGGCACTATTCCTCCCCCCACTGACACCAAGGATGGGGCACTGTTCCTCCCTCCACTGACACCAACGATGGGGCACTATTCCTCCCCCCACTGACACCAACGATGGGGCACTATTCCTCCCACTGACACCAACGTTGGGGCACTATTCCTCCCACTGATACCAATGATGGGGCACTATTCCTCCCCCTGATACCAACGATGGGGCACTATTCCTTCCACTGACACCAGTGATGGGGCGCTATTCCTCCCACTGATACCAATGTTGGGGCACTTTTCCTCCCACTGACACCAGTGATGGGACACTTTTTCTCCCACTGACATCAGTGATGGGACACTATTCCTCCCACTGACACCAGTGATGAGGCACTATTCCCCCCACTGACACCAATGATGGGGCACTATTCCCCCCACTGACACCAATGATGGGGAACTATTCCCCCCACTGACACCTATGATGGGGCACTATTCCTCCCACTGACACCAATGACGGGGCACTACTCCTCCCACTGACACCAATGACGGGGCACTACTCCTCCCACTGACACCAATGACGGGCACTATTCCTCCCACTGACACCAATGATGGGGCACTATTCCTCCCACTGACACCAATGACGGGGCACTATTCCTCCACTGACACCTATGATGGGGCACTATTCCCCCACTGACACCTATGATGGGGCACTATTCCCCCCACTGACACCTATGATGGGGCACTATTCCCCCCACTGACACCAATGATGGGGCACTATTCCTCCCACTGACACCAATGATGGGGCACTATTCCTACCACTGATACCAATGATGGGGCACTATTCCTCCCACTGACACCAATGACGTGGCACTACTCCTCCCACTGCAAAATTACAGTTATGAAGTAGCAACGAAAATAATTTTATGGTTGGGGGTCACCACAACATGAGGAACTGTATTAAGGGGTCGTGGCATTAGGAAGGTTGAGAACCACTGTGTTAGCAGAAGCAGAAAAGGAAAAAATACCTTTAAGAGTCAGCACATAGGTAAGCCAATCACAGCCAGCCTCACACTGCACAGAGCCTTAACCAATCCCAGCCAGTTTCACATTTGTCCCTGTGTAAAACCCCCTGCTAGATCTTTCTAGAGCCACTTGCTCACCAGACAGAAGAGGAAACAGACAGAGATCCAGTCAGAGATACGTTCTATGGAAGCAGAGAAGGCCAAATAGTTCCATCAAAATAAAGCCATTGTAATGTAAACCAAAACAAGTCATTGTAGAGTAATAGTAAACAAAAATACACAGAACGAAACGAAACACGTAAAGAATCACAATATGGAACTGTAATCCACAACCCACAATATGTCTACCGTCTTATGTTATCTGACAAGATTGAACTGTTGAATCTCCTTGTTTCTTGGTGATTTTCATTCACCACATGTTTGTACATGAACTGTCCGCTGCACAAGCAGCAGTGTTATATGAGGAAGATTGAAGTTATTAAAGAAGTTAATGAAAGTATTCGGTGTGCTCTTTAAACCTACTGCATCCATAGAGCGGCATTGGAGGAATTACAAAGTAAAGTCAGTCTAATCAAACAAAAGAAACAGCAATTGCATCATTTTTCTAATGCCACAGCGCACAAGGCACTACATAGTGCTGCGCCTGCCAGAAGCACCATCTTGACACCAGCCTGTAGCTTGCCTCCTGATATGTATTCCTAATTGAAGAACAGAAACATAAAGTACGGGTTTTGGACCTAGCCTGGGAATTGAGTTCAGTACTACATTCCACTTCCCAGAAGTCCATAAACCTAGGTGTGGCCTGAGGAGTTTTTGATAAGAGGATTTTGTTGGCATTTGTTAACCTTTTTACCACGGCGGAAACCTTGATGTTCAAGTCTTGGGGAACGTTAGCCATATCACATCAGTGGTCATCAAGGAGAGATGGTCTCTTTACGCTGGTGGTCAGTTGAAAAAGATGGAATAAAAGTAAAGCGAGCGCTCAAAACCCAGCTGCTGGAACACTCCAAGGAATCACTGGACCTCATAACAAGAGTAGTATATATATATATATATAGTGCAGCGCTGTATTGCAATTAAGATAAAATCAAGTAAATTAAAAATAAACTAAATGATAGTTCATATAGTCCCTTCACAATAAAGGTGATCATAAACATGTGGAGGCCTCTTGCTCATTAGGTGACTGGAATCAAATAGAAAGAATGCGCACTCACCACCGCGCATTTTAAATGCGCATGTATGCAGTTCTATCCAGATAACCAGTCAGGCATGCGGATCCGTAAAGCATATAGGTCATCCCTCTCACATAATGACATCAGCCTTGGGTGCAGTGATATACCTCCAGGTCCAGAGAGCCCTCTCGCCCAAAGTGATAGGTAGATAGAGATCCCTCTCCTGGTTCCAGGTACCCCAGAAATTGGCTGATGCAGATCTGGAACCCTCCAACAAGAGGGTCAAAGAAAAGGGAACGCCAATAGTGTAGTAGGTTCAAAAACTTTAATGGATCAATAGTAGTAAGTTAGCCAGGGTCACATGTACATACGAATACCATCAGCCATCAAGCGGACTGGTAAGTATGGAAAATAAATAAATAAATAATACATGTACTAACCCGGCAAAGGTAAAAATAGAGGGCCACCGGACCTCCTCGTGGTCCCAGTGGTCAGGAAGTCACACTTGCTACTGGCTCCTCCTAATTGAAAAAGATGCCCTGTTACACATGTGATTATTGAAAAAAATACCCATTACAATGGTGGGCAGTGTAGTGCCCCCATACATTGAGAGACAATGGGCAGAATGTTCCTTATCCTGGTGGTCATTGAATAGAATGACCCTCATGATCACTGGTTTCAGTGGTTACTTACATGGAAAAAGAAAGGAGAAGCTCCAACGAGCCCAAGTCATTGGTTTTGGCAAACATTTTTATATCTCTTTACAAGTTTCCTGTATATAGATATAAACCAGTAAATAAACCAGTCTTTCGTAACTTTTTTACCATGGAGGAACCCTTGCAATATTGTTGAGGTCTTACAGAAAAATGACTTTGTATCCAAATTGCATTATGTTAGCTATACCACTTAGTGGTCATTGAGAGATGTCCTCCTTATGTCAGTGGCCAGTGGAAGGAATGTCCTGTTACACTGGTGGTTATTGGGGAAAATGCCCATTACAATAGTGATCAATGTAATCCCTCCATACATTGATGGACAGTGGGTAGAATGCTTCTTATATTGGTGATAGCAAACAGACTGCCCCTCTTTTATAGGCAGCCAACATGATCACTGGTTTCAGAGGTTACGTACCTGAGAAAAAAGAGAAGGTCCATTGGTTCCAGCCATGCCACTGGTTCTGGTAAGTGGCATTGATGCCAGAACTATGCAGGCACCATCAGGTGCTCAAGGAATTCCTAGGAACCTCTGGAGGAACCCTAGAAATAGACTGCCCCTCTTTTACAGACAGTCAACATGATCATGGGTTTCATAGATTATGTACCTGAGAAAAGAGAGGAGAAGCTCAACTGGACCAATGCCACTGGCTCGGGCAAGTAGCATTGGTGCCAGAACTATGCAGGCATCATCAGGTGCTCAAGGAATTACTAGGAACCTCTGGAGCAACTCTAGAAATAGACTGCCCCTCTTTTACAGACAGTCAACATGATCATGGGTTTCATAGGTTATGTACCTGAGAAAAGAGAGGAGAAGCTCAACTGGCCCAATGCCACTGGTTCTGGCAGTGGCATTGGTGCCATAACTATGCAGGCATCACCAGGTGCTCAAGGAATTCCTAGGAACCTCTGGAGGAACTCTAGAAATAGACTGCCCCTCTTTTACAGACAGTCAACATGATCATGGGTTTCATAGGTTATGTGCCTGAGAAAAGAGAGGAGAAGCTCAACTGGCCCCATGCCACTGGCAAATGGCATTGGTGCCAGAACTATGCATGCATCATCAGGTGGGGGTTTAATCCACCAGTGCTCAAGGAACCTCTGGAGGAACCCTAGGGTTCCATAGAACCCTGGTTCAGAAAGGTTGATATAGGCTAACAAACAGAACAGCAGAGATCAGCAAGCAATCATCACATCCCACCAATGGAAGAAGCACCGCAGAGGGTCATGGGAGAACTAAAGCCACAGGAAGACCCAAGGATGTGATGTGACCATCCAGAAAACCCCATGAAAGAAGGTATCCAGTATATGAAAGGAATGTTTACAAAAGAGGTGTGAAAACCAAATACAGGAGAATATGCAACGTGAGAGAGAAATATTTGGGGTGAGAGGAGACTATTTTTAAGAATTTCGAGTTGTCCTTACAATTATGAAATTGTACATTGGGCCGAAGTAGTACCTCTTAAACAGTTTCTCCATGCAAAACCTGTTCTCTTAGTTTTAAATAGAAATGTCAAGTTTTTATTGTTGTCTGCATTCCCATAGGGGACCTTCATCTTTTCTGTTTGTATTGGCGACCGTTGTCACCATAAATGAAAGTGAGGAAAATACAAAATGTTAGGGCTCATGTACACTGCAGCTGATAAACTCACGTTTAGGAGCTGTTTAGTGTTTTTTTTCAGCATCCCCTGAACTCCCCCTAATGCTTCCCTATGTGTCCATGTATACATCTTCATTTACAGTCGTTTACAGGCAGTTGAGTTTACAGTCATTTTTTGGAACGCAACAAACTTGTGTTCAGACGTCGATTTTATCAGCGTTTCAAACGCAAAACGCTTGTAAACGCGGCTAAACCTGTCTAAACGCAGCAAATCACGTTTAAAAACATTTCTGGTTGAATTTTTTTTTAACTCTTCCAGTTCCCAATGCTGGCCAGAGTCTTTTTTCATCATGAAAAATGCATGCAAAGACTTTTCAAGGTACTCAGATGGACGAAACACTGAACACAGGATGTTCCTACGAAGCTTGTCACACCTTGTAATGACCAATTCACACCTCAGACCTCTCCCATCCTTGGAAACAAAAGATATGTTAATGACCAATTCACACCTCAGACCTCTCCCATCCTTGGAAACAAAAGATATGTTAATGACCAATTCACACCTCAGACCTCTCCCATCCTTGGAAACAAAAGATATGTTAATGACCAATTCACACCTCAGACCTCTCCCACCCTTGGAAACAAAAGATATGTTAATGACCATTCACACCTCAAATTCCTCATGAAGACCCCCTGCCAGGTGGCCTTAATGACTCCCTCCACCAGACACCTTTCCCACCCTTGGAAACAAAAGAAATGTTAATGAGCAGCTCACACCTAAGCTAATCTCCACACATACTGCTATCTCTGCTTCTACTCTCTGTATTTCTCTGAAACAGTCTGAAATAGTAAAACATTTACCACTTTTCAGTGCATTCTGGGCATATGAGAGGTTCTCCTGTGCTTATCTTTAAAAACGCTTCTAAACGAAAACGCTTCTAAACGCTTCTAAATGCGGTATGCAAACGCGGCCACACAGACTTTTTTTTAACCTACGTTTTCCAGCAGTCAGTTTCCATCGTTCACAAACGTCCCGTGTACATGGGGCCTTAGAGTTGTTCCCAGAACAGATGGTAAAGGGAAATCTTCCAATGAGGTCAGCTGTTTCGAGGAAAACTAAGAGAGAAAGTCCCTTCACTTTAAGAGATTTCCTCTAACTCCCTGTTGGATCTTTGACACAGGAACTTTCTCCAATTGCAAGCATGTATAAAAAAAAATAAAAAATTAACTTGTCGGGGGATATTCACCCTTCTCTTCTCTATCCAAAATTAGAACAAAAGCGTTGGGTATACATACACTTGTCAGAAGAACCCCTTTTTGGTACACTGGATTAAATCCTATGCGTTACGCAGCCTTCATGTTAACAAAACTGGGCACAACAAAGCCAATATGAATTATTTGCTGGTACTATATACTGTGTGTAATTGTATGAATAAATACGAATGTCTTGCCTTGCAGGAATAAGGATTTGGGCTTTGATTTTTTTAAATACAATGCCTAGGATAATTTAGCAATAGCTCCTTAAACTATTAATGGAAAAATGTTATCTCGACTATCTATTTTTTTTTTTTTTTTAGAATTACACAATCCTCTTTAAATGTTCCCTCTAATTTACTCCTTGTTTCTATGGAAACTCGCCTTCTTGATAATCTACCAGCGTTCTCCAGTTAGGGCGCTGGACAGCCTTGCCGGGACCTCATTAAGTATCTTCCCACTTATTGGAGAGATGGTCAGCACTAACGACCACGCAATTTACATGACAGTCGTGTCCAAGGAGGAGTCCGCCAATAATTGATGGACTCCAGTTAGTGTTGCCTGTTGCTGATTAACCTAATTTTATCTACAAATAGCCCTGGCAATTACTCTTGTTTTTGGTGCCATACGCTTAACTAATGATAGTTTGTTTTTTTTTTTTTCTTCAAAGGCACTTTGCAAAGTGCCTGCAAGAGGAATTGCATCCCTTGAGCTTCGCCGAGGATTTGGGATTTTCCAAAAGACTACATCTGGCTATGATGATGACTGGAATAAAAATATATGGGCTTAAATGTACCCACATGGAATAAAAATATATTTTCAATATATATTTACAAAATATTCTTCCCAAATATATTGACATATATTTGAAATACCACAATTTTGGCCATATTTTATATATTATCAATATATATATATATATATTTATAGTATATTTATTAAAAGGTATTTTAAAAAATATTTTCAATATTTTGTATACTGTATGTCTTTAAAAATAAAATGCATTTCAACATACAGTATATATATATATACACACACAATTTTTTGACACACACACAGTATGTTGGAATGCATTTGTATATACGAAATATATAAAAAATATTTTTAAAAATACATTTTCAACTATATACTGTATGTCTTTAAAAATACATTTAATTCTACATTTTCGGAAAAAAGCATTTACAAATATATGTAAATATTTACGTTAAAATAGATTACTTTTTTATATGTTAAAAAAATTTGAACAATATATTTAAAAAAAAAATATATTTATATATATTTTGTAATATATAAAAAAAAAAGCGCATTTCAACATGCAATATACATATATATATATATATATATATATATATATATATATATATATATATATATATATTATTATATACAGGATTTATATAGCACCAGTTTGCTCAGTACTTTACAATATAACGGGAGACAATACAGCAACAATACAGTTCACTACAAGAGGGATAGGAGGGCCCTGATCCTTGGAGCTTACAATCTAGGAGATTTATATATATATATATATATATATATATATATATATATATATTGAAATATATTTTGACATATATTGAATACAACCAAAATTGCAGTATTTCAAATATATTTTTCTTCCATGTGGGTAAGGAGTGTACTTGTCTCTTCTTGCTCAACCCAAGTAAATATATTTTTTCTTCCATGTGGGTAAGGAGTGTACTTGTCTCTTCTTGCTCAACCCAAGTACAATTGGGCTTGAGAATACACGCATTTACCAAATGGGCATGTTTCGTTTCGGATCGATTCGTTAAATTTGTGATTTCGTTTTGTTGCATTTGTAACAAAATGAATTTCATTCTCTGCCATCGGTGGTTTGCGTCAACACAAAATAATGAAATCTCTTCATTGACAAAAACTCATTTTTAGAAGGCATATATAGCAACATTATTATTCTGGATCCCAGGACACTGTCAATCTCGCCCAGTGTCCAAATCATGCCCACATTATGGGTTGGTCCTATCAGGAAGCCCACCTCTAAATACGTGGCAACCACTCATCATGTCAATTTTGGGAATCTGGTTCTGCCTAGACCCCACCTATAAATAAGCAGGGCTTGCCTTCTTGCTGTGCCTATGGCTACAATCAAAGCATTTCTCGAGTTGCTGCAATTGTACAGTAACTAAAGTAAGGTAAGGGCCAAAATGTCGGGCTATCCCAACAAATCCGGGACAGACTATGGAAAAATTCTGACAATTAATTTTATTGTAACTTTCTTTCCAGAGACAACTGCACCCTGTGTTTTTAGTATTGCTTTCACAGGGACAGGAAGTTAGAACAGATCTCCCTACCTGGATCACATTCAGAAAAAAAGACCTCAGACCGGTTTCTCAGTCAGGGTTCCGTAGATCCCTAGACTTTCTCCTGAGGTTGTTAGGGGTTCCTTGAGCAAAAGTGAGTTGATCCCCAACTCACACTGACCACCAATGCAAGGGACAACTTTATACTAGCCACCAATGTAAGGGCTCGCATCTACATTGACCGCTAATGGTAAAGGACATCACAATTTTAACTGTCCGCTTTTCTTTTCTGTGGTCGTTTACATAAAAAATATTACTGAAAAATATTGTGAAGGGCGTTGGTAACAAAATGATCTGCCCTGAATGTCAAATATGCTACACCACATTACACCACATTAATCATTCATTTATTTAAAACTTTTTCTCAAATGATTGATCATATTAATGTACCATTTATTTATTTATTTTAATTTCAGGTACTTATATAGCGCCGTCAATTTTACACAGCACTTTACATATATATTGTACATTCACATCAGTCCCTAACCCTCAAGGGGGGTACAATCTAAGGTCCCTAACTCACATTCATACATACACATACTAGGGACAATTTAGACAGGATCCAATTAACCTACCAGCATGTCTTTGGAGTGTGGGAGGAAACTGGAGTACCTGCAGGAAACCCACACAGGCATAGGGAGAACATGCAAACTCCAGGCGGGTGGTTCCTTGGTTGGGATTCAAACCAACGACCCCAGTGCTGCCAGGCGGAAGTGCTAACCATTTAGCCACTGTGCCATGAACTGGTAGCATTATCCTCTTTAGCAGGGGATCCCCAGCAGGACTGGCTCTAGCCTGTCTGATGTGGGGGTGCAGTAAAAAATGTCAAGGAGCAGAGGATGGGAGGACAGCAGGGCAGAGGACAGGGGCATAGCTCCTTCTCCCATCCCTCCACTGCACACAGCCTGAGCACAGGCAGCAGAGCTCCTCTTCCTTGCACAATACCTAAGTATAGTGTTGTGCTAGGGCAGTATAGTATCAAACTAGGGTGGTAAAGTATCAGATTATGGTGGTATTGTGTCAATTTAGGGTTGTATAGTGGCAGGTTAGGGCAGTATAGTGGCAGGTTAGGGCTGTATGGCAGGTTAGTGGTATAGTGGGGTTAGGGTAGTATAGTGGCAGGTTAGGGTAGTATAGTGGCAGGTTAGGGTAGTATAGTGGCAGGTTAGGGTAGTATAGTGGCAGGTTAGGGCTGTATAGTGGAAGGTTAGGGCTAGTATAGTGGCAGGTTAGGGCTGTATAGTGGCAGGTTAGGGTTGTATAGTGGCAGGTTAGGGTAGTATAGTGGCAGGTTAGGGTAGTATAGTGGCAGGTTAGGGTAGTATAGTGGCAGGTTAGGGCTGTATAGTGGCAGGTTAGGGTTGTATAGTGGCAGGTTAGGGCTGTATAGTGGCAGGTTATGGTAGTATAGTAAAAGGTTAGGGTAGTATAGTGGCAGGTTAGGGCAGTATAGTTAGGTTAGGGCAGTATAGTGGCAGGTTAGGGCTGTATAGTGGCAGGTTAGGGTTGTAGAGTGGCAAGTTAGGGTAGTATAGTGGCAGGTTAGGGTAGTATAGTGGCAGGTTAGGGTTGTACAGCGGCAAGTTAGGGTTGTAGTGGCAGGTTATAGTATAGTGGCAGGTTAGGGTAGTATAGTGGCAGGTTAGGGTAGTATAGTGGCAGGTTAGGGTATAGCGGCAAGTTAGGGTAGTATATAGGCAGGTTAGGTAGTATAGTGGCAGGTATAGGGCTGTATAGTGGCAGGTTAGGGCAGTATAGTGGCAGGTTAGGGCAGTATAGTGGCAGGTTAGGGTAGTATGGCAGGTTAGGGTAGTATAGTGGCAGGTTAGGGTTGTATAGTGGCAGGTTAGGGTTGTATAGTGGCAGGTTAGGGTTGGCTTTGGGGGGGGCACAGCTAAAATCTGTGGGGGGCATAGCCCACCCCAGCACCCCCCCTAGATCCAGCCATGTTCACCAAGAACCTTAAAATGATTCAAAGGTTCTTTAGGGGTAAGAAGGTTGGAAAAAGTTGCCTTAGACTTAGACAATAAAAATACAATAAAAAATAAATGAAAATGATTGCACAAACTATGTTTTGCTCCTAGGATCCCAGT